AGTCTCAACCGTAATACCAGGGAGGCTAAAGTGGTAGGGCTACTCGAGCCCATGAGTCTGAAGCCAGCATAGGTATCAACATAGCAAGGCAGAATCTCAAGAAACAAAATACAGTGCATCACCTGACTTCTGAAGTCCCCAGTGAATTCAAGGCTATCAGAGTTTGTTAAGGACCTCAAACTCCTAGCCAAAGCCAATAATCCAAGTGCATGGAATTGCTCCCCTAAGACACGTCTTTTCTGCCTAAAGCCTGTACTTCCCTTGGGGGAGGGGGTGGCCTTGAATGTCTCCATCAGGATTGGCACTCAACACAGGGCTCCGGATCCAGGAATGACTCATATCCAGGAATTGCTCCATTGTGTTACAACCAAGTCCAGGACATATTCCTAAAACCCAGATCTTTTCCACTGTCCCCAGTGCTGCTTTCTGTTTTGTTCTAGGCTAGGGTGACTTCATGGTCAGTGAGTCAAAGGTGTCGGGGGCTACCTAGGGTTGCATGCCGATAAAGGTGACCTCACCAGCCTGGCTAATCACGTGGTCTCTGGCCCACCAGCATCCTCTTCACTCCGTCACTCTGCTTCTTAGCTTCATTTCTCCTTCATCCCTGCCAGACAAGCAGCCTCTTCAGGGCTTTCCAAGGACGTTGCTGTGCATGCATGTGTGCATGTGTGCACATGTGCACGTGTGCGTAATATATGTGTATGTGATGCATATGAACTTGTAGAGGACAGAGGCTAATGCCAGTTGTTTTTCTCTATTGCTTTCCTCCTTGGTTTTTATTTATCTGTTTGTAAGACGGAATCTCTCTGTGTAGTCCTAGTTGTTCTGGAACTCACTCTGTAGACCAGGCTGGCCTTAAACTCAGAGACCCACCTGGCTCTCTGCCTCCTTAGAGCTGGGATTAAAAGCGTGTGCCAGGGCCAGGAAGTGGTGGCACACGCCTTTAATCCCAGCACTTGGGAGGCAGAGGCAGGTGGATCTTTGTGAGTTTGAGGCCAGCCTAGTCTACAAGAGCTAGTTCCAGGATAGGCTCCAAAGCTACAGAGAAATCCTGTCTTGAAAGACAAAAAGAAAGAAAGAAAGAAAGAAAGAAAGAAAAAAAAAACGTGCGCCATCTCTGCCCAGCTTTTTCTCCAGAACTTACGGTTTGATGGTGGCAGCAAGCCCCAAGAACCCATCTGTCTCCATCCCTCCCCTAGCACGGGTGCTACAGGAGCTGGCCTCCCAGGTTTTGTGTGGGTGCTGGGGATCTGGGCTCAGGTCCTCATGCTTGCAGGTCCTGCTCCCCCTGAGTTACGTTCCCCTCAACACACGTCCACAGTACACCTGTCTTGGAGGGTATCCTCCAGCCGCCCCCCTCCCCAGGAGAGAGCTGAGCTGATGATCCACAATGCACACTCCTGTCTTTTTCTCCGCTAAATCCAGGAGCTCCTAATATTTTGCTATCATTCTCTTAGGTTTCTTAAACCTCGCTCTTACTTATCCAAGTAGAAACAGTCCTTCTGGCCTTTCCAACCACCCTTGCATTCCAAAACCAATAATCAGCAAATTGGTCCATCTGATTTGGGACCAACTCCTTCCAATATCCATTCTTCGAGACTTGGCTGAGGAAGATTTGTGAAATGGTACGACTGTTTCGGTGTTTGAGTCTTCTCTCCCCAGACTCACCTGAAACGACTCCTCCCTCTTCAGAAAGTTCTGGTTGTCGATCTACCCATGTTTCATCTCACAGCCTGTGCATTTCCCAGGCCCTTGGACTGGTACGGTATACACTGGTAGCTGCAACCCGCCCTCCTCACAGCCACACTGACTCTGGCTCCTGGCTACCATTACTCCTGGGTCTAATGTCTATCTCTGTAGTCACTTTGGGGCCTGGCTTTGCTTGAGGACATCCTTCTTGCTAGCTCTGTTCGGTTCTGTGAAAGCACTGGGAAGGAATTTTGCTGTGGGAGAACCAGCATTCCTAATAAAATGCTTACAACATTTTTTTTTTATTTTTCTATACTGTAGGACTTTTTTAGAAACTAGTTACCTGCCCAGCAGACTGTCATTCACGGGTCACATGATTACCAGATGTCATCTCTGTGTCACCTGACAGCAATTCTTGTCCCTCCCCTAAGTATGTTTGAGGAGGATCTTTCAGGGTTTTCCCTCAGATCTGTGATTATAACAAAACCTAAGCCCTGATCACAACTCTACTGAAAACTTGCCTTCAGCAATCCCCAAAGCCCTGTGTGTACAATATTCTGTCTGCATGTATGCCTAAAGGCCAGAAGAGGGCACCAGATGGTTGTGAGCCACCATGTGGTTGCTGGGAATTGAACTCAGGACCTTTGGAAGAGCAGGCAATGCTCTTAACTGCTGAGCCGTCTCTCCAGCCCTCTCCGCCCCCCCCCCCCCCCAAAGCCCTGTGATATCAATTGGTCTCCATCAGGTCTCAGTTCTCAGCTAGGACGTTTCCTCTTCTGGGAGAACTACCCTTTCTGGTCCTGCTCAGCATCCCAACCCCCACACTACAGCAACGACATATCATGGGGCAGTAATGGGGGAGGAAAGGTGTTGGCCTGATGTGTCCCAGGTCCCCAAGGCAGCTGGTGCAAGAACAGCCACAGAACTCTATTCGGGCTACAATAACCCCCTCTTACCCCCATGCAGAAGCCTCGCCCATCCCTTTCCAAGGTACAGAACTAAGACCTGCCCCTCGTTGCAAGGTTCCTTTCTCAACTGTAGACGTTTGTCCAAAATTAGCACGCCCCAGGCATCATCTGAAGCCACTTCCTGAACCCTAGCAGGCTATTTCCAAAAAAAGAGTTCACATCTCCAAAGTCAGGTTGGCCTTCAGAGCTTGGCTTTGAACAGAGCAGGCAGCAGACTCTTTCCAAGTTTTCCAAGGCTCCAGGTCAGAGCTGAGCCCGGGCAGCCTTCACGTGTAAAGGCACCTGAGGGTCGTCAGGAACCTAGGCGAAAAGTACCACAATTTGCATACCATCACAGCCCCACACAGGCTCTCCCAGAAAATAATGGGCAGGCCCTGGGGTAGTTCCCAGCTTGCCACTGAAAGAGAAGAAAGTGCTTTTGGTTGATTCCTTTCAAATTACAATCCACAGTGCCCACCAGCTGTGCGAGCTCCAATTTACAGTTTCAAAGATTTCTGGGCCACAGAAGAGCTTTCTGTCCTGACTCTAAATAGAAGAACTACCGGCAACCCCCACCCTATGCGCAGGCCCAGAAACCGTGCTGGAATGTGACTCTAAGAGAAACACTAATTGAAGATTGTCGTGCCCCCCCCCCGCCCCCGCGGTCCCCTCTGCCCCAACCCCCCCCCCCCCCCAGCCACAGTAGCCTCAGACCAGGTTCCTTTTCTGTGCCATCTCTGGGGTCTCGGTCACCCAAACTTTGCACCTGTGGTGTTTGTTTTCTAGCAGATTTCATCAGGAAAATTCCAGATGCCCGGGCAGCCAGGCTTCAGTGGAAGTCCATGACCAGTTTACAGTTCTGAAATCTCTCATTCTGCCTGCCAGAGGGCACCCCCAACCCAGTATCACAGGGTGTCTGCCCCTGACCCAACCCCGAGTCAGTGTTCTACCTCTGGGTGAACAGGGTCATTTCTCCCCACGTGAATCTGAGTCCTGACTCCTACTGTAGTCGGGAGGCCCTCCAGAACCCTGTTTATCTTCCCCCTGGCTCCAGAGTTAGTAACCAGGGAAAGTCTCTCCTTCCTGGGTACTGAGGTCATGGCCTTCTAAATGCCAGGAGTCTTCGAGTGGAACTCTAGTTTATGGAAAGAGGCCAAGAATCTGGACAAGTTACTGCTCTAGGAACAACCACTTGCAGGGAAATACCCTGGAAGAAACTTGCCCTGGAAAAGTGACTCAGGTCAGGGACTTTTCGGGGTGGAGTGATCTGGGAAATACAATTACCACAGGGACCTTTAGATGTTAAAGTACACTAAGTACCCACACTTCCACCCTCAGATGGGCTTATCTGTTATTCTTCCTTGACAATTAAAACTGGTCCCCAAAATGGTGTAGTTCAAGACTGCATAAACAAAGAGCTGGAAACAAGTCATGTTGTCTCCACGAGTTTCTCAAAACTAATGTACCGAGTCATGCCACACACGGACTCAACAACTCTCCCACCTCAAACACCAGCCAGAAAGACACACACACACACACACACAAAACCTCAAACACCAGGACACGTACAATGCTAACTCAAATCCCACAGATACACACCCCACCTCTAACACCACACACGCAGACACACACACATTCAACCTTAAACACCAGGCACACATGTAAAAGGAAAAGGATTTTTAAAAGATTTTATAGCTTGTGTTTCACAAAATGTACCAAAGGTGGTTGTGAGCAAAAAGCCGGCAGCCTAATCCGATTCGTCTTCCTGATTTCGTTTCAACCCTACTGCATGGTTTTCTCTTTGCTTTGCTCATTTAGAAGGGGATGCTGAGGTCTTTTCAACAAGGATCCCTCAAATATCTCATCAGGGGAAATGGGACTAACAAACCACCCCTCGCCAGAGGAACTCCAGACACGCACTGAAAACGGGAGACAGCAGGAGAGCCCGATAATTGATGTAGTGCACGGCTAGACAGTCTAGCAGCTGAGCCCACCGCGCAGGAGCAAAGAGCGCAGGTTACCAAGTCCAGCACGGGACAACGCCAACCGGCGCAGAAAAGGGTCCGAAGCGCGCGGGTAATCCCCAAGTCTCACCCCACCCCTCCCAGAGCCCAGGTCCTCACAAGCTCCACCCCGGAAGGGCCAATCGACACACAAACCTGCCTCGCTCAGCTGCCCAGCTCCGCCCCGCCTCGCCCCGCCCCGTCGCAGCTCCACCCCGCACCGACTCGCTACGGCCCGATCCCAGCCCCGCCGTTCCCGAGCAGCCGAGTGTCTCGTGACCACGGGCGTATCCCAGACGGCCTGAGATCGACGCTGTCTATGACCAGTTCCTCCTCAGTTCTGAACCGCCCTTGTCGGGTAAACGTGAAGTGTCGTCTGCTTCTGATCTCAAGCCTGGGTGAACAGGGTCAGATTCCCGCGCGTGAATCTAAAGAAGCCCTGGTCCTTTAGGGACTCTGAGGAGTTACTCCCCAGACCACCACCTCCCGAGTTCTGACAGATTCGCTGAAGCTTCAGAAAGTGGGCCTTCTGATAGAAGGAGTATTTGGATCTGGGAACTCAGGGGAGGAGAAGGACTGGGCCTGGGCACTCAGGCGAGGGGTGGAGGCTGGCCTGGGGACTCAGGGAACGAGCCTGCTGGAATAGCTCTGCCTTCCCTACCACGGGTCTGAAGACATAGGCCCATCTGTATCTCTGCCATGGGGGCTCTGGAGGCCGTCTTTTTGGCATTGGCTGCAGGCCTGAGCACTGCCAGCCCACCTAACATCTTGCTGTTATTTGCTGATGACCTGGGCTATGGGGACCTAGGCTCTTATGGGCACCCCAGTTCCACCACCCCCAACCTGGATCAGTTGGCTGCAGGGGGAATGCGGTTCACAGATTTCTATGTGCCTGTGTCTCTGTGCACACCATCTCGGTGAGTGAGGGACCTTCACCCCTCCCCTCCACCTCGCCCATCCCACTTGGGTCTTTCTGTGGGTGGATCCACAGTTGTCCCTGGCCTCTCTGTGTTCCTCCCTGTGGGTCTCACAGAGTATGGGTTATGTGGCTTGTACTACAGGGCTGCTCTCCTGACTGGCCGGCTCCCAGTTCGATCAGGAATGTACCCTGGAGTTCTGGGGCCCAGCTCCCAAGGGGGCCTGCCCCTGGAGGAGGTGACCCTGGCTGAGATCCTGGCTGCTCGAGGCTATCTTACAGGGATGGCTGGCAAGTGGCATCTTGGAGTGGGGCCAGAAGGGGCCTTCCTGCCCCCACATCAAGGTTTCCATCGATTCCTAGGCATCCCGTATTCCCATGACCAGGTACAAACCTTACCTGGGCCCTCCTCTGCCCCCCCCCCCCCAAATCTTCTTATCAATGTCCCCTAACCCATAGCCAGATCTCCCTCACTGGAACTGTTTCCCTAGGGTCCCTGTCAGAACCTAACCTGCTTCCCACCAGACACCCCCTGCGATGGTGGTTGTGACCAGGGCCTGGTTCCCATCCCATTGCTGGCTAACCTGTCTGTGGAGGCCCAGCCCCCTTGGCTGCCTGGTCTAGAGGCCCGTTATGTGTCTTTCGCCCGAGACCTCATGGCTGATGCCCAGCGCCAGGGCCGACCATTCTTCCTGTACTACGCTTCCCACGTGAGTGACCCTGGCCTCACCCTCCTGGCTGCCCAAGACTGTGCTCAGTGCTGACTCCACTCTCTGCCCCCAGCACACCCACTACCCTCAGTTCAGTGGACAAAGCTTCACAGAGAGCTCAGGCCGTGGGCCTTTTGGGGACTCCTTGATGGAGCTGGACGCAGCTGTAGGGGCCTTGATGACAACTGTGGGAGACCTGGGTCTGCTCGGAGAGACACTGGTCATCTTCACTGCAGATAATGGGTACGAGCCAGAGCAGGGGATGCACATTGCTTGATCATAGGTGAGGATTCTAGGGTCCATCCACGCTAGCTGTTTGTGGAAGACTGTTATAAAAGGCTCTTAAGAGAAATGCTAATCTTGTTACAGTAATCTATGGGTCACAGAATGGGGACCTCTGGGGACCACAGGTACACAGAGTTGCTGGTCTTGGTAGGAAAAGGAGGAAACAGACACTTAACAGTCATTCTTGGCAAGATTTATAACTTTAAAATATGGGGCTGGTGGTCACCAGTGGTGGGTGAGGGCCCTTGGCCCCTCGTTACTGATAACTTCCTTGTTTGTCCTAGTCCCGAGTTGATGCGTATGTCCAGAGGTGGCTGCTCTGGCCTCCTGAGATGTGGGAAAGGAACAACTTATGAAGGTGGTGTCCGAGAACCTGCCTTGGCCTTCTGGCCAGGCCACATTAAGCCTGGTCAGTCCTCTGGCCCTCTTTTTGTAGACCCTTGACCCCATCTCCACAGCCTTGATGTTATCTGAGTGACCAAACAGCCATCTGTCCACAGGTGTAACCCATGAGCTGGCCAGTTCGCTGGACCTGCTGCCTACCCTGGCAGCCTTGACTGGAGCTCCACTGCCCAATGTCACCTTGGATGGTGTTGACATCAGCTCCGTGCTGCTAGGCACAGGCAAGGTAGGGCCGATAATCCCTTGATCCCAACTCCACTACTCCATACTGCTTCTCCTTTAGGTATGAATCTGGGCGGTGGCGGAGGAGAGTCCATGCCTCGTGTCTCCTTTGATGAGTGGACTCTGAGTACCACCTCTCAAGTTCCTGGGTGGGCCAAAAGGGAGTCCACTACCATTGCCTTACACAAGAGGTCTTAGACATCTTTCCTACCCTGTGACCCTGACTTTCCCTCAGAGCCAACGGAAGTCTGTCTTCTTCTACCCGCCCTACCCAAATGAGATTCATGGAGTCTTTGCTGTGCGGAGTGGGAAATACAAGGCTCATTTCTTCACTCAGGGTAACTCTCTCTCCCTGGCTTCCTCTCCCCAACCCTGCTGGCCCCTAGCTGCTCTATCCTCTGCCCCTGCTTGTATAAAAAGCTGGCCCCCTCCCCAGGCTCTGCCCACAGCGACACCACTTTCGATCCTGCCTGTCACGCTGCCAGCCCTCTTACTGCTCATGATCCCCCGCTCCTCTATGACTTGTCTGAGGACCCTGGTGAGAACTACAATCTTTTGGAAAATATGGAAGAGGTCTCCCCAGAAGTTCTACAGGCTCTGAAACACCTCAAGCTGCTCAAGGCCCAGTACGATGCAACTGTGACCTTCAGCCCCAGCCAGATAGCCAAGGGTGAGGACCCTGCCCTGCAGATCTGCTGTCAGCCGAGCTGCACTCCCCACCCAGCCTGCTGCCACTGCCCAGACTCCCAGTCCTAAGGTCCTGGAGAAAATCACAGGGGTCCCCCAAGGGTAGCCCAGGACCCCTAACCGTATCCTGAGTGTGTGATGGTTCAGCAGAAGAAGGGCAGGGGCAAGTGTGTAGTTTGTATCTGGTAGTGTAATAACATCAGCTGAGACTTGCAGGTGTGCTAATTCATCTAGTCCTTGTGGTAACTCTGAGATCAGTACTATTCTCCTGTGCTACAAATGAGGAAACTGAGGCATGGGGAAAATCTCATGGACCTGTCCAAGTCCAAAGTCACCTTACTAGAAAGAACTTGATCTAGGGTTTGAACCTGGGCATTCAGGGTCTGAAATTTGCCCTGTCACTGAAGCAATGGACATGTCTGTTCACAGAAGCCAGTAGTGCATTCAGGTGCCAGGAACTGTGAGGGAAGGGTGGTGAAGGCATGGTATCCAGGAGACCCTAAAAGTGCCCAATCCTTGGAACATAGGTTTTCCTCAAGAAGCATTGTTAGTAGAGGCACTGCAGCTGGCCACCTTGGGTCTTACAAAAAATCTGTCATCTGGAATTAGGTGATAAACTGCCCATTCCAGATAGAGTTAAGTAATTGGGGGCCCTGCTAGATCCCAAGAAGGAACATGAGCAGCTCCTGAGACAGCCCCCTGGGGCTCGCCGGCCTCCCCAGCTCTGCATTCCTCCATTGTGCAATACTTCAAGTCTCCTCATCCCTTCTAATTTTCTACAAAGCAATCTTTAAAAAAAAAAAAAAAAAAAAAAAAAAACATCTGTCAGGGGCCAGTGAGATGACTCTGTGGGTAAAAATGCTGGCTCTGCAAGCCTGGCAACCTGAGTTCAATCCCCAGGAACTCACATGAAAAAGCCTGATAAAAGGGGCCCCACACCTGTAATCTCAGCATTCTCAGGGAAGATAGGAAGAAAGGAGGATTGCCCAGAATCTTGTATGCCAGCTAGCCTAGAGTATGAGCATGGTAGAAACGAGAGATATCCCGCCTCAGGGAGATAGGAAGAGAACCAGATCCCCAGAGTTGTGCTCTGACCTCTGCACACGCTCTGTGGCCCACACATGTCTGAACTTACATATATCACACTCACATGAGCAACAATAATACTAATAATAAATGTCAAAAAAAAGAAGTCTATTGGGTTGGAGTCCACCATATTCAAATTCCAAACTCGTTCAGTGACCCACCATTCCCTCAGGCCCACTGCGAGCTGGCCTGACTGTTCTTTCCTATGGCACTGTTCTGCCTCAGATGTTAGCTTCTATAGAAAGAGACCTTTGGGCTGTGTTTGTATGGCAGGGTGTGCTGTGCATCCCAAGTGCCCCTCAGTACTGGTCACCTCAGAACCTCAGGGTGTCCCGATATCTCCAGCAATATTTCTACTGTTGCCTCTTTTCAATGGGGACAGACTTCCAGGAGTCAGGCATACAGCCTCTGTCCTTCAAGGTGGTGAGCCATCTGAGCTGGTTAAGTTCCAGTGATTGGTCCAGGAGTGGCATGTGACTAGGGGTCCTGGTAGTGAAAGGTTGGGGTGATCTGAGTGAGAACCTAACTTTAGCAATGCTGCTGGCCCTGGACAGAACCAGGCGATCGTTAAACCAGTGTCTCCAGCTGCCCTGCCTGGAGAGCATCAAAAGTACTTGCAGCTGACATGGCCTGGTCTGAATGAGGCCTGAATGGAGTATATGAGACCCACTTTGTGGGGAAAGGACACCTCATGTTTGCTTGAGGTCTTCCACAACTCCATTTTCCATAGAACTCTTCCATAACCTCTTATCTGGCTAAGAAGCTACACTGGCCACACTCCAAGAACTGCCGCATCCCAGGCTATGCACACAAGGTAAAGGGGTTTTTTTTTGCGGGTACCCAGCAGGAATTTATCTAACTGGAGGGCTGGTGTCAGATGATCGATACCGCAGTTTGAGGTGAAGAGAGGAGAGAACTGAAACATGGGTCATCCACACGTCACATTGAAAACAACAACCTGCCCCCCACCACCACCAAAACCAGTCCCTGTCAGCACCTGAGTCCAACCCTGGGGAAGAACCTCTGCTCCATTCTTTCACCAGCATAGAGTGTATTTTAATGCTGATCCCATCATATTTACTGCACTGTAGTGCTGGAGCAAGGTATGCTCAAATATAAAGATGATCTTAACATGGGGACATCAGGCACATGTGAGATTTCCATGCCATAGAAACCATTGGCTCTTGCAGAGTGCAGTGTGTGGGTATTGCCTAGACAGGCAAAAGGAAACCTGGGCATTCTACAGTCTGAACAAGAGGTGACATGAGACATGTATGTAATAAAGCAATCAGCGGCCACACACTGAGGATTTTCATACTTCCTTATATCGTTCTGTAATTTACACTTCAATAAAACCAGTAGCCACCCCCCAACGCAATACTGGTCATATTACCATGAGAGCATAATTGTGGGGTAGGAGTTAGCCAGACACTCTAACAGCCAAACTCTGTCTTTGTTATATTCGTAGGCATGCATAAATGCTTGTTTTTCATCGTTTTTGCCTAATGCAACATCTGCTCACAGAGGCACATCTGTGTGTACTTACATGTGCCCACACAAATATACAGGTATACCGATACATATACACATGTGTTTAGACACATGCGTGCACACATCCACACAGGCATAGCATGGGTCTTTGTGCAGATACGTGCATACAGTAGCTGGTATATTCACACATGGATGATATGGGCAAGCATATACACATGCACTTGAACACATACATACATTTACACATGCACTCATAAACAGTTATTATGGCCCGCAGATGCTGTCCCCACGTGATTTTGATTTCATAATATTTTCTGTGCAGTGCTGGAGTAAGGTGCCATCAAAGGACTTCTATCTTTCTCATTTCTATACTGTTGATATGGAGGGGAGGGGGGGAGACAGCACCTCTCCCTAGGAGCCTAAGTATTGTCCCTGGCTTAGCTGTCCTTGCCTATGCATTTTCCCAAGTGACCAGAAGGGGGAGTAAAAGGAAATGTTTCATGGACTAATAATGTTGGATTCAATTCACCTCTTCTCCCATGTTCCTAATTACAAACGTAGTTTTTGAGGAGGGCACAAGTCCCTCTCTGGCTCTGTTTTTAACCTCTTTAACTTCCTTCTCCCCTGAGTCAGTGTTTCCCTCTTTGTGCTGGGGACGACAGTACTTGTTAGAACTGCTTGATAAACATCTTTCTATCCAGGGATTCGAACCACCCACAAAGCAACAGCTGAGCTTTGCAAAACAGATCATCCCTCAAATGAGGGTGACTACCTAGGATGGCAAGGTTGCACCATGGAGAATGAGCAATCTTTTGGAAACCAGATTGCTCTTAAGTAATGACAGTGGTGACTTCTGCAGCATCCCTTGGAGAACAAGAACTGAAAAAGTGACCTGACCAAGATTGCCTTGCCAGAGACCGGCTTCAGCAGGGGGTTCCCAAAGAGGATGTGTGGAGTGTCGGGGGGCAGGGGGAGGCTCTGAGGAGAGGAAGACAGACACGGTCTAAGGGTGAATCAGGTTGGCTGCCTGCAACCTTTAATTGAGAAAAGATTACAGCTTTTATACTGTGTAGTTTCACCTAGGACTGAACGAGAGACAAGGGGCACGTGAGCTGGGGTGTGGCTTGAGATCAGGAGTTGAGGAACTAGCATTGATCTTGACAGTAGGCCCCAGTCCTATGTTTTTATGAATGGCCACAAGTTCCTCTTGCTAGATAGAGGAATGACTGCTTTATCAAGCAGGAAGTTTTCTCAGGTCCTCAAGGGAATGGAGACCCTGATCCAAATGCCTGGCCTTGGGCAAAGGACTTCTGGGAAGCAGACACTATACTACAGTTTCTTAGTCTTACTCTATTGGCCAGTTCCCCTCATACACTCCCAAAAGGGAAAGTCTTACTCTCCTCCCATTATACCCCACCGTTCTGATTTCTCTGTATTTATTAACTGAACAGTAGCCCTTAATGGCCTCAGGCTCTGGATCTGAGCTGTAGGCAGTTCATCCTTGGAATCAGGTGTGTCTAGTAAATCTCTCACTTGCGTGCACTTGGTGTTATTAAGAGGGCACAATGGGCTTCCTGGTTCCGTGGTTGTGGGGATTTTTTTTTCCGATGAATTATTTTGTTTAGAAGCTACCATTGTGCACATTTTTATCCTTTTACCAAAGCCCACACAAAATTTCCCAAAGGAAAAGGGATTAGTATTGAGAATCGTTAAAATTGAAAGTAAACTGTGCTGGACAAGTGTGGTCTGCAATGCTGAAATGCTGGAACCTTGTCAAGCAGCAATGGTCGTCATGTGGTCCACGCCACAAGATCATCTAGATGCTCTCGGTTATGAAAACTCTCAACCCTGACCCCATCTATTGCCCCCCCCCCTTTTTTTTTTCAAGACAGGATTTCTCTGTAGCTTTGGAGCCTGTCCTGGAACTAGCTCTTGTAGACCAGGCTGGCCTCGAACTAATAGAGATCCACCTGCCTCTCTCTCCTGAGGGCTGGGATTAAAGGCATGTGCCACCACCGCCTGGCTTTTTTTAATTTGTGTTTTGGAATGGGTAGCCTAGTCGGTTGGTTCTCTTCGAACTAGATACTTTTGACAGTTACAATGTATCATCATCAGAACAAACACGACACTCAGCAGCCTCAGTCTGGGAAGGGAGTGATACCATAGCCAAGCATCTTTCTCTGCAGAGCTGAAATATTTAACCCGAGAGGTTTCAGCACTCGTCTTACCCTGTTTCACCATGAACACACTCCTTTTAGGAGCCAAGAAGCAGTGAAGGAAGAGGACTTTGTATTTTTAGTCTCCTTTGCTCTTCCTTCTTTTGACCCCAATATCTGCCAAGTAAATAATAAATTCCCTTTTAGAAGTTTCTACTGGAGGCCAGGCGGTGGCGGCGCACGCCTTTAATTCCAGCGCTTGGGAGGCAGAACTAGGCAGATCTCTATAAATTCGAGGCCATCCTGGTCTACAAGAGCTAGGTCCAGGACAGGCTCCAAAGCTACAGAGAAAAACCTGTCTCGAAAAAACAAACAAACAAAGAACAAAAAAAAAAAAAAAAACAAAGAAAAAGGGGCTGGAGAGATGGCTCAGAGGTTAAGAGCACTAGCTGCTCTTCCAGAGGTCCTGAGTTCAATTCCCAGCAACCACATGGTGGCTCACAACCATCTGTAATGAGATCTGGCACTGTATCCTGGAAAGTGTATATATAATAAATAAATAATTAAAAAAAAAACAAAAGAAAAGAGAAAGAAAAAGCACCCTAACCAGACAATGGTGGCATACACCTTTAATCCCGGTACTTGGGAGGTAGAGGCAGGTGGATCTCTGTGAGTTCAAGGCCAGCCTAGTCTACAGAGTGAATTCTGGACAGTTAGGACTGTCCCATAGAGAAAAAAAAGAAGAGGAAGGGCCCTTCTAAGGAAGGAGCTTTATCTGGACAGTATGACCCTTTGTACTGCTCCTAAATAAATAAGGCTCTTAACTGAGACCATCCCAGTATGAGCTGAGGTGAGGCTCTATCTTCCAGTCAAGACAAGGCCATTCCCCTCTCAAAATCAAAGCAGTTACAGTTACCTGCATGGGTTGAGACTCTCAGGAGACAGGTCTTCTAATATTCCATTGCGGAAGAGGAGAGTTACTATTGTTTATTTACAAGGTGTCCTGGTAAGGTTGTTTTTTTTTTTTTTGTTTTGTTTTTTGGTTTTTGGTTTTTGGTTTTTGTTTTTTTTTTTGTTTTTTTTTTTTGTCTGCTGACAGAAGCTGGAGTCATTTGGGAAGTGAGAATCTCAATTGAGATTGCCTCCATCAGATCGGCCTGTAGGCAAGTCTGTGTGCATTTCCTGCTTGATGGCCGATGTGGATGGCTCCAGGCTATCAGGGGTGTTCAGTGACACCCCTGGGCAGGTTGCACTGGGTTGTATAAGCAGCTGAGCAAGTCTTGTGGAGCAAGCCAGGAAGTAGCCTTCTTCCATGGTTCTGCCTCCGTTCTTGCCCTGACTTTCTTTCATGATGGATTGTGGTATGGAAGTGGGTTTGGTCATGGTGTTTTACCACAGCAATAGTAACCCTAACTAAGACACAAAATGGTCCACATGTAAGAAGATTGGAGCCCAAAATCTCAAGTAAGCCTCCAGAGGGTAAGATTTAGTGCTACTTAAGGGATAAACAGGATGGTCTGAGGCCTGGTGGGAAAACACAGGGCCGCACTCAGCAGACTGTTCATGTGTGTCAACACTTCAGAGCGTTTCATAGGACTCCTGTTCATGAATGCAGCCTTGGTGAGTGAGGGGTTTTGTTTTTTGGTTTGTTTGTTTGTTTGTTTTTTGACCTTCTGATGTCAGAAGACCACCCATGGGATGATTACACGGCCCAAATGGAGGAACGATGCTTTTAATGTGTTTGAGTTCCTAAAAGACAACTCAAGTGACCATTACAAAGTGTATAGAGTCAGTGGTGGTGATGCAATCACCTTAATCCCAGTACTCAGGAGGCAGAGGCAGGCGGACCTCTGTGAATTCAAGCCCAGCCTGGTCTACAGAGCTAGTGCCAGGACAGACTCTAAAGGTACATAGAGAAACCCTGTCTGCAAACAACAACAACAACAACAATAACAAAAATCAAAGTGTGCAGAAACATACTGCTCAGCTGAGCAACCTCTAAATTTTTGATAAGTGAAATCAATGTGTTTACTCAGCCTTTCTCTTGGCTTCAACTTTTAAAGTTTCCTCTCAGCAGTTTTCAACTCATAATTTCTAACATGCGATGTATTATGATTCTTCATAGCTCTTACTAGTATAACGTTTTCATTATGAAATATTTACATTTTTTCATATCTTCTTAATATTCCAATTATGTAAATATATCTAAATTCAGTAAATCCTGTTGCTCAGTAGTTAGATTATTTGTATGCCTTTTGTTTTGGTTTTGTTGTTTCCATTTGTATT